TCGTGTTTTACCTAAATCTATTTTTGACACAAAAAGTGAATTTGCTTGATAGTAACTGGAAAAAGGGAGGTAAATTTACCTCTTCTGGAGAACAAGGGTTGGATAGTACTTTTGACTATTTGAGTAGTAGTTCGCATCTCACTACTGCTTGTTGCGAAGGTTTATGGAGGAAATATCCAAAATAATACTTCTAAAATCGAAACACTTTTTATAATAAATGGTTTTAGGCCAAGAGTTGGATTACCCAGTCATATTTCTCTTCTTTCATTGTAAACTCCCCAGGTGAAAGGGACTTCGAGGCACACAGTTGGTTTTGCGATTGCATTCAAGAGTAGTGGATGGACAAAAATATGAGCCTTTGTTCCGATTTAAAGATTCCTCTAAAATGAACATGGAACCTCATTGGTGTAAGAGGACTGCCTTGTATTTGCTCTTCCTACACTCTCCATTCTCCTGCTTTGTGTGTGAAAAAGGTACAATTGGTTTAATCCTGTCAAAAATGGCTGAAGATTGGTCTTTCTCCGTGGGTTCCATTTACTTACATGTCGCTTATTATGCTCACCATCAGGGTAACTGCTTTGAAACCAGACTCCAGAGCTACCTTCCTTGTGGAGGCAACTTCATCAGCTCAACAATCTCGAATCTCATCCATGCATTTCAGATATTATTTCGCGGCTGCAAGAAGGGTGGAGGGACAATGACTGACTGAAGCGTGTTTCGATTGAACCCAAGCGAAAATAATTGGATGAAGATGAATCAAATCCATGCGTCTTACAGATTCCTGTGGACTAGTCTAAATAATTCCACCACTATCTGTTCCGCTTTTTAACAAACTGAGTAGAGCCATTTACATATCTCCATTTTTAGCAACTTTGAACGCAGCGATGGAGAATCAAGTGGCAGCCAAGGACAGGGAGCTAAAATCGTGCAATCGTCGATCGGAAGAACTATCCACCAAACTTGACATCATTCGTAGGTGGTGTGAGTGGCTCATTCAACCACCGGGCTCACAGTTCGCTCGGCCTGACCGAAGTCCCTACTTTGAGACGGATGAGGTAAGACGCCTTCGTTCTCACCTTATTTGCAAGTCTTTTGTCACACAATTTGTTGAAATCAATTTTTCATAACACATGCATCAGATGTGACACCATCTCTATAGGTCTGAACAAAGTACCACTCGATAGCGCCACTCCTATTTTTCAAATCAACTAGCCCTTCCTGTAACTTGCCTTTTTATCTGACAGTCTAACTTGTCAATAAAAGGCTTCTACAATCATAAAAGTAGGCAAGGACGTAGCAACCATTCTTCTCTTTTCCGCTTGTGTAAGTTCACGCTTTATGGTGAATCGGCTGATCTTGGAGAGAGAGAGGAGCGAATGTGTTGCCGATCTTACAGGTTTCTTTCGGGGACAGAAGGCAATCTGAAGGCACACATTCATTGCCAACGTTACATGAACTCATTGTGGCGATCATGTTTGCTCTCGTAGGTTTGTGTTTGTGTGTGTATATGCGGACACCTGAGTTGAGGTGTTCGTGCCTGACTCGACTGTGTGTGTGTGTGTGTGCCAGGCAATGGATCCACTGACAAAGCAGAAAACATAAATAATCATATAAATGGACTATGTGAATAGGAAAATTAATATAAAATTAAATGCCAGAATTAGGTCTATTTGGGGGATAGGAAAAAACTATTGTGTGGCTTTTATTACAAGCATTAGTGTACACCACAGATCTGAACATCAGCCAATCAGAGGCGGCCGAAATTGGTGGGTGAAATTTGATCTTCACGGTCTGGCAACTTTAGTCTAAGGGGGTTCCAAAGTTGTGACAAAAACTGGATTCTGGTGGAGTTGTTACTAGGCTTCTGAAGAAGAGGTGATGCAGGATGGTAGAAGCTACTTCTCGATTCTTGGATTTGATTTTAAAGGAGCGTTTTGGGTGATGTTGAATCACTCTAA